TATGGGACGCCGCCACAGCATGGCTTGCCAAAGCAGTGCGTCGGTGCGCGCCCGGGATCCGAACCAGCGAACCCCGGGCCGCCACAGCGGAACGCGCGCACCCAACCGCTTGCGCCACCGGGCCAGCCCCCTTAATTCAATATTTTAAAGGCTCTTTTTTATATATATATATTTTTTCAAATTATGCATTAACACATGCAATAAAACACATAAAGATGTATAAAGAAAAAGCTAGGTATCTCCTCCTCTCCCTGCTTCTTTCCAATCCCACCTCTTTCCAACATTTCTCTCCAACTCATTCAGATTTACTGCCTCTCCTCCCATCAATCTAGTAACTCATGTTAACAACCCTGTGTTTGTGCTTCCTTGCTTTACTTCAGGCTCACGTAATCACACACACACACCCCCAAACACATGCATATACACATACATCTGCATTGATAAGGAGTTTGGAATTCATTATACAAGTTGTACCACATTATACAAACTCCTGTGTATCTTAGTTTTCTCGCTCAAAAATGCCTTATTTACATTGCTCTAAATCAATTGGTATAGCTCTAGTTTTTAATGGATGCATAGTAGTATCATATTCCACAACATGGACAAACTAATATTTATTTCAAGTCTTCCTCTCTTGATGGGCATTTATTATTACATTTCCAACTTTTTGTATTTTTCCTCATCTAAAAAATCTATAATACACATACAAAAAAAATTGTACATACAATTTTTTTAACAGTTTTATTTATTTATTTATTTATTTTATTATTTTTTTTTGTGAGGAAGATCAGCCCTGAGCTAACATCCACGCTAATCCTTCTCTTTTTGCTGAGGAAGACCGGCTCTGGGCTAACATCTATTGCCAACCCTCCTCCTTTTTTTTTTTTACCCCAAAGGCCCAGTAGATAGTTGTATGTCATAGTTGCACATCTTTCTAGTTGCTGTATGTGAGACACGGCCTCAGCATGGCCAGAGAAGTGGTGCGTCGGTGCGCACCCAGATCCGAACCCCAGCTGCCAGTAGCGGAGCTCACACACTTAACCTCTAAGCCATGGGGCCAGCCCCCAAATTGCTTTCCCAAAAGACTGCACAATTCCATTTGTCTACTAATGTATGAAAGTTTGCATTTCCTCATATCACAGCTAGCAATAACTGTTATCATTCTTTCCACATTTTTGCCAATCTAATGAGTATAAATAACACTAATTTTTACTTAATTTGCCTTTCTCTATCAGTAATTTTGAGCATCTTCTCAAATGTTATTGGCCATTTAGATTCCCTCTGCTATTAAGTGTTTATTTCTATTCTTTGTTCTTTTATCCATTAGGTTGATTATTCATCCTTCATTCATTGAACTGAAATACTAAATTTGTCATACATTAAACTCTGATATACACTGGAATCATTTAATGAATTTTTATTTTTTTATCTAATTTTCTAGTTTTAAGACAATAATACATTGATTTTTATCACAAACACTATTGTATTTCTAACAATGGTAAGGTAGGTTATCTATCCCAGTTCCTCTTTTCTTAGTATTCTTCATGGATAGTCTCAGGCATTTATTATTCCATATATAAGATCATTTTATAAAATCCCTCCCAGAATAAAATCTTTTGGAATCTAACTGAAATTGTATTGAATTCTTAATTTTAGCAGAACTGACATTATTATTATATCTTCCCATCTAAGAATATTCTGTCTTTTCTATTTTTTTCAATATTATTTTCTACAATTCAGAGATTCTACAGTTTTCTTTGTAACAATTCTATGCCATTCTTGGTAAAGGTATTTCTAAATATATTATGCTTGTATGTTATCTTAATAGATTTCTCCCTATTTTTATTTTTGTCTTAACTGATAGAAAATCCATTCATTTATTTATTTTATCTTCTATTTATTTACAGACAAAATTATTTTATTCATACAATTCTTGTACTAAAATTCTTGGGATTTTTAAATATATGATCATACTCAAAAATAAAAAAGACGTGATTTAATCTCTTCTTTTCCAATATTTTACCAAACAATCCATGGTATAGCCTTTGTTATAAGTTCCAAAAATGTTGAGTATTAATGGCAATAATGAGTATCTATATCTAGTTCCTGATTTTAATTGTAATGATTTCAAGGTTTTGTTAGTAATCTCATTCTGTTCATATTTTATTGAGAGTATTCTTTGAAATTTTGTCAAATATGCTTTCAGCTTCTCTTGAAATTATAAGATTTTTTTTTTTCCTTTAGTTTGTTAATTAAACAAATTATAATGAGATTTTCTGATACGGAACCACCTTTGTATTTTTGGATAAATTCTAGTTGGTCTTAATAAATATTCTTTTGATAAAATGCCAGATTTTATTGGAATTTTTTTAATCTTAACATATCTATACTCACATGTGAAATTGGTTTATAGTTTTTGATTTTGAAATATCTTACCAAATTTGGATATTAAGGTTGTGCTGGCTTCAAAAAATAATCTGAGGAGCTCTGATTTTTTTCTATTATGTAAATTGATTAAGTAAAGTGAGAAATATCTGTTCTTTTGAGATTAGTTACAACTCAACTAGGAAAATATCTGGTCATGATGCCTCCTTTTAGTGTGCTAAAATATACATAACGTAAAATTTATCATCTTAACCATATTTAAGTGTACAATTCAGTGGCACTAAGTACATTGACAATGTTGTGCAACCATCACCACTATTCATTTCTAGAAATCTGTCATCATCCCAAACAGAAACAATGTACTCACTAAACAATAACTCTACATTCCACCCTTTCTCCAGTCCATGGGAACCTTGATTCTACTTTTTGTCTCCATCAATTTGCCTATTCTAGGTACCTCATATAAGTGGAATCATACAATATTTATCTTTTGTGTCTGGCTTATTAAACTTAGCTTAATATTTTCAAGGTTCATCCATGTTGTAGCAAGTATTAGAACTTCATTTCTTTTTAAGGCTGAATAATATCCTATTGCATGTATATCCCACATTTAACTTATCCATTGATCTGTTGATGGACACTTGCACTGTTTCCACTTTTTGGCTATTGAACATTGATGTACAAGTGTCTGTTTGAGTCCTGCTTTCAATTCTTTGGGGTGTAGTAGATTGCTGGATCATATGGTTTATGTTTAATTTTTTGAGGAACCACCAAACTGTTTTCCACAGAGCCTGCACCATTTTACATTTCCACCAGCCATGTACAAGGGTTCACAATGCCTTTTTTAAGGGTATAACTTTAATCACCTTTCTCACTTCTTAGGTTATAATTGTTTTATTCTAGTTCTGTATTTCTTTATCAGTTTTGATAATGTTTACTCTGCTGGGAAATCAATAATTTTATTTAGGTTTTCAAATACATTTCATTTTCTTTCCCTTTTACTTTACCACTTCTCAAAGGAATTTAAGGCTATAAATTTTCTCTCTGAGTTTTTGCTGTGTTCCATGAGTTTTGATATTCATACATTTTTACTGTTTTTAGATAGTTTGTAATTTCAGTTTTCACGTGGTCTTTGATCCATGGGCTAACCAGAGACACATTCTTAATTTCCAAGTAGTTACTATTTGGGAGCTAGGGAGAGATAAGAGGATCACTGTTTCATTATCTCTTATTTTATTTTAATATGGTCAGAGAATGTAGTCTGTAAAAATTTTGCTTTTAAAATTTTATCAACTTTTCTTTGCAGTCAATTACACAATCTATTCTTGTAAAGTTTCCATGGACATAGAAGATAATTAATACTCTCTATTCAAGTAATACTTGATTTCTGATTTTTTTTCATTTTGTCTTGCTCTCTCTACATAAGAAAATGTGTTGATATCATTATTCAATTCCCCTATAATCTTATTTTTTATGTAATTCTAAAAATGGGTATTAAGGTCTCTCATTATAATTGTAGTCTTGTAATTTATCCTTTCATATCTAAGAGATATAGCTTTTTATATTTAGCTATTACATGGTCTTCAGGTACTTTTGTTGCTTGGTGCTTCAGAGTCTTTGTAAATTGTTTATTTCATTACTTTACTGTTACGAAATGTCCCTCTCTATCTTGATTAGTACTTTAAACTTCATATACCTCTTTTCTTACTATTAACATAGTTCTTATTATTGCCATACCTGTTTTTTTCCTTTTTCTTCATTTTTTTTTTTATTTTTGGAATTTTCTAGTATCTCTTTACTCATCCCTTTATTATAATCCTTTCTCCATGTCCTGTGACCTTGGTTTTCAGATGTTCTTCTCACCTAGAGGAGAGAAGGTCCCTACCACCACTCTCTTATCAGAATTAGACCTCGACCAGAATCCTCTCCCCCTCCATTGCTTTACTACTTAATTATTTCTCTTGCTCCTCTCCATTCTTAAGTTATTTTACCTAAATAGATGGGAAAAAATCTTTACAGACAGTTAGGAGACCTGAGTTTATGACAAAGCTCTGCCACTAGCTGTGTGACTTTAAGCAAGTCAATTAATGTCTCTAGAACTATGTTCTCAGTTGTAAAATATCCAAATTGACAAGACAGCCTCAAGGGCTCTTTCCAGTTCTACAAATCAGATCCTACCATTCTAGAGAGGAAAACTCAAGGAGGGAGGGGGAAGATATGACAGTGGTAGCATAAGTACAAGTCAATTGCAAATTTCCAGAGCTAAGGACAATGATAATCTTTTTATCTTAATAATATAACAAAATATTATATGCAAGGCTACTATACAGCATCACTAACATTTAAAATTATGAGTGTGAATTGGGCTATATGTTTTAAAGCTAATTCTATGGTTCATTTAGATATCTATTAACATAAATTGAATACCTTAAAATTATATATTGGTCTTTATAATTTTCTAATTCAACCCCTAAGTGATGAACAATGCTTTTGAAATGCACCTATGTCTGAGAGATAGAATTATGTGGTGTCTGTATTCATTTCAAGCCACAGTACTTCTTATCAACCATTGAATCTAAAATCAGAAACAAATTCCATTGTCTAATAATCTTCCTCTCTCCAAAGTTTAATGGGATGAGCAGTTTAAATTGTGCAGAGTAAGTTTTCACATCCACTCATGAGAATTGCTATATTTCCCTTCCTGAAGGAAGGAAGGAGAGTGTGGCAGGAAAAATCCCATAGATTTCTGATCAATCTTAACACTTAATTTACCGTCCCAAAGCCTCTCTATAGTCCAACAGTGAGAATTCTGGAAAATAAGTTACATTCTAATACTTTACTCTAAGTACATTTCTTCTCATGTAGCTCAATATTTGTAGACTCAAAAGTCAAAGGTAAGATTTCGTTTCTCCTGGAACACAGGTAGACCAGACCCATGCCTCCATTCTAAAAACTTTGTGATTTAAAACAATTTAAATCAATAGGCTTTACTGAGTGCCTATTGTGAGCATTGTTTTGCTTTTAACACGTGAGATAACGAAGTAGGAAAAATATAAAAACATAGAAGATTTGATATCTGCCCTTGAGGAATTTACAACCTGATTCAGGAAATATTAAAAAGAATGCTATACACAATAACATGAAAAATAACTACAAGGTAAATTCAGATAATCAAAATGTCATTGCGGTAAGCTGAATAACAACTCCCCAAAGATATCCTCATCCTAATCCCTGAAACCTGTGAATTTCTTACCATACATGGTAAAAGGGACTTTGCAGATGTGATTGAGAATCTTGAGATGGAAGATTATCCTGGATTAAATAGGTAGGCACAGTTAATCCCAAGGGTCCTTATAAGAGAGAGAACAGAAAGTCAAAGACAGTAGTAGGAGATGTGATGATGAAAGCAAGAGGCTGGAATGATGCAAAGAAAGAGCCACAGGCAGTGGTCTCTACAAGCTAAAATAGACAAAGAAATGATTCTTCCCTCAGAATCTCCAGCAGGAATCAGCCTTGCCGATACCCTGACTTTAGCCCAGCAGGACTGATTATGGACCTCTGACCTCCGGAAATGTAAGAAAATAAATTTTTATTGTTTCAGCCACTAAGTTTGTGGTAATTTGTTACAGCAGCAATAGGAAACTAATACGATCAGGGTATGATTTGAAAAGATAAAGGTAGAAGGTAATATCATATTAAATAATTGAATCAAGTATAATGCAAATAGATTATTGAGGATGGTAATAAGATTTTGTGTTAGTCGGGGACATCTTCTCCCCAGTCTTTGTTTCCATGAGGAAGGCTTTTGTCTAACTCACCCCTTCTCTCTCCTAACCCTTTAATCACTCAGGCCCTGGTAATATAGAATAATGTCTCTGTTTAATTTGGAAAGAGTATCTGTGCATGCTCAGTCCAGTTCTGCCATTTTTCTTGAAAAAGAGCATCCTGTAGGGACAACGATGTTCTGCACTTTTTCCTCTTTCCATAGGAAGCCTGGCCCAGGTGGTGCTATAACAGGTAGGGTGAGTCTACCTAATTCTGGGGTACATTTAGCAGGCCAATTTGTCTCTCAAATTAAACTGCATTCTCCAATCTTTCCCTATCAGTAATAAGGTGATATTTTGCCTGTGTTTTTACTTTTTCTAAAATTCCCAAAACGTTCAGCACCAGGATGAAAAAAAGAGTTGCAGTTTGGGGGAGAGGAGTCTCAAATTATCAACTGCTAATATTTATGGAGTGCATACCATGTGCCAGGCACTGTAGAGAGCATTTTGCATACGTTATCTCATTTCACCCTCACAAAGACTTTATGAGGCAAGTACTGATATTACCTGCATTTAATAGCTAATAAAACCAAGGCACAGAGAGGTTAAGTAACTTGCTCAAGGTCTCACAACTTGGAAATGACAAAGTTGTGATTCATGTCCAGGTCTTTCTCACTTCAAAATCTAGGCTTTTGAGCACTCCTCATATCGCCCTTCCTCCTGGAGGACATGAGGTTGGAACTGAATACTAACGATAATTCCTAAAGAAAGCTTTGTCTTCTTGGCATCAATCTTGGTTTGACCTCTTTTTAAGAAAGTTGTTAGATGTAAAGCTCAAATAAAAAATTGAAACCATAGATCACAGCAGTCTTGTTCTATATACTCATTTAAATGCTATTAATTGCCTGCGTCTCTTATAATTTGTCTTTCACATGAACACGGCCTAGACTTGATTACAAAAACAAAACCTCTTTGAAAAGATTTCACCATTTAAAATACAGCCACCCTGAGAGCCTTTAATCTTCCATGGCATGAAACTACCCCCACTCAATCAGAAGCTGCCTAAGGGGTCATCTCAAAAACAGATGCTTATGGCTGAAAATTAAGATATCAGACTTTCATCTCATTTGACCAGTTTTATTTCACTTTTGATTCCATGTCCTTCCCCTTCTCTTATCCTGCAGGCAGTGGACCATATATTTCTTACTTCACAGAGGATTTAATAGGCAGTCACAGTTCTACAGCTGGACATCCCACAAAGCAATATTCTCCATGATAAATTTCAGCCATTTTTGACCCTCAGCTTTCCTTTGAGAGCCATATCAACCACAATGAGAAGACCTCATATTACCATCTCAGGAGTATAACAAGGTTAAGACGATTGCTGTCTCAGCTAGACGCTGAGCTTTTGATTCATGCTTTTATAACAACAAGGCTGGATTACTACAATTTGTTGTTGGCATCCCTCCCAGAATGCTCACTGCTTTGACTTGACTTTGTACAGGATTCAGCAGAGTGTTCAACAACTAATACAGAAATGCCTGCACATATCATATTAGTACCACAAGCATTATGCTGAAATATAGAATTGGTTTGAAAAATTGTAGGTACAGGTCCTTACTCTTAACCCTATGAAACAGTGAACCTTGTCCTTCCAGAAATGAGGCTTTCATCTACAATCCTGGTGTAGAACTGACTGTGGCTCAAGAGCTCTAAGCTACTTTGTAAGAATGTCACATGTCACTTGACTTAGGCTCTGAGGAAAATCTCTCCTTTCAAGGGCCTAAAACGCTCACAGCCAATTCCCGCTTGCTAGCACACTTAGCTATATCTTATCAGAAGACACTTTCACTAAAAGAGAGTAATATAGGGGCTGGCCCAGTGGTGCAGCAGTTAAGAGCGCGTGCCCTGCTTTGGAGGCTGTGTGTTCGCAGCTTCCTGGGCGCACACCGACGCACCACTTGTCAAGCCATGCTGTGGCAGCGTCCCATATAAAGTGGAGGAAGATGGGCACGGATGTTAGCCCAGGGGCAATCTTCCTCAGCAAAAAGAGAAGGATTGGCATCAGATGTTACCTCAGGGCTGATCTTCCTCAAAAAAAAAAAAAAAAGAGTAGTATATATAATACAATAATATTCTATAATTTGCATTCACACCTTAGAGAAACTCGAATCACACAATATCCCAGTGTTTAAAGTCTCACTGAGAAACATCTCTTATTGACTCTCGTAATGTCTGGATGAAGTCTCCTTCTATTATCCAGACCAGTACTTATCAAAGTTTGCTCCTGGAACCACCCACCTCAAGATCACCTGGAGTGTCCATTAAAAACACAGATTTCAGGGTTTTACTCCTAGAATAATGACCTCTGAGGTTGAGGCTTAAGAATTGGCATTTTTTTTTAACAAACTTCTCAGGTCTTCCTAATGGACACTAAAATTTGAGAACCTCTGTACTAGACATAGTAAGCTCTAGGAATGAACACACAAAGCCTCATTCAGAACCTAGCATACTGCCTGGCCCTAGTAGGTTCCCATTGTTTCTACATACGATGTACAAATAAATGAACAGTTGATGAATCCTTATGCGGATTCACAACGTCCAAGGCAATGCCTCTCTCTGCTCTTGTGATCTGCTCAGCTCTCCTGACCTGGGTAGAGGAGCCACAAGTAGAATTGTGAGATTGAGCAAAAATATACAGAGCACCCAGTTAAATTTGTATTACAAATAACAAATAATTCTTAATATAAGTATGTCTCTTGCCACATTTGGTGACTCTAGCCCCAGATTATATAGTCCTAGACTGATCCAGTGTCTTCTCTTGGCTGGTGTCCCCTCCTAGCCACAAAGGGAACGGATACCTCGGGGTGCAGAGCATGTTGGCAGGGAAGCCAGGGTGCCTTCCTGTATGCTAGTAGTACAGCTGTCAGCTTTACTCTTGACAAGCAAGGTGAGATTTTTCCTCCCAGTCTCACTGCCACTGCCTCTACAGGGCCTTATCCAAGGGTGAGGCTCTTGTTTCTCTGATCCTCTGATATCTTATCTATTAAAAAAAAGATAAAAATGCTTCCTCATAAGGGTTGCTATGATGATTAAGTGAAGTAACATCTGTAAAGCTTAATGATGGTATTTATTTCCTCACTTTCACTGTCTTCAGAGCTATGTTACTTTCAACATTAACATAGTACCATCAACTCACACACACATATGCACAAATAAGTATGCATGTGCTCACCTTTGCGCACATACATACACATGACCATGCACACACAATTTTTGGAGTTCTATTTATGTTCCAGGTAGGAGATTGGCACAATACAGCATAGAGGTTAAGAGAGAGAGGGCTCTGAAGCAGAGCATTCAAGTTCCATCTCTGCCACTTATGTTTTCTGTATGACTTTGGCTATTTATTCAACCTCTTCATACCTGAGTTTCCTCATTTATAAAATGGGAATAACAATGCTTGCTTTACCGGGTTGTTGTAAAGATTAAATACATTAATACAAGCAACCACTTAGAACAGTGCCTGTACATGGTGATCTTCAGTAAGTATCAGCTATTGTTATTTTTATCATCATCATCATCATCATCTCCATCCAACCCACATATGTTCTTGACATTCAGTAACCTCATAGGACCAGGAATTACTTCCCCAAGTAAACTCTCTCACTTAGGACTGGAAAGACCCCCGAATGACCGTATTTTATTCTCATTAGGAGCTGGGAAAATAGTTAAATTATACCTCTGGCAGTAAGCTGATTTCCATCCTCTGGCAGTTTCTAAAGCATACATGCTAGTGAGACCCTCTTTTAATTGATCTACATAACCATGAAGAGAGGAAGAGTTTAGAATTCTTGTAATTCCACATTTATTTTGATAGCTTGAAAAAGCTTGCCCTTAGAAATTGTCTAAAGATCAAAAAACATAACCCAGTATATTTTAAATGTCTCATCTAAACATAGAAGATCAAAATGTGTCCATACTTAAGAAAAATGTGACTCCCACTGTCACTACTAATTTAAACTTTTGTAAGGAATATGTCTGACTCTTCCTCATTGACCATCGCTATCTCACCCAATACCTTTCATCCAACAAATAATTTAACACTACATACCCAGAGTATTAACATGACAGGCATTTATACATTGACCCATCTATTTAATAAATATTCATTGACTGCCTCTATGTGAGAAGTGCTGTAGATATAACAGTGAACAAAACAGACAAATAACCTTGCTCTCATTGAGCTTACTTTCTAGGAGGAGAATGGGCAAAAAAAGAGTGAAATAGCATGTCATTTGGTGATAGATTCTGTGAAGAAAAATAAAGCAAGGATGGGGCTAGGAAGTGCAACAAATAATGAACTTTTACTTAGAGTTGTCTGGGAAGACCCCACTGCTATTTGCACAAAAACCCAAGAGAGGTGATGGAATGAGTCCTGCAGATACCTAGGCAGAGGGGGTAGCAATGCAAAGAGGTTTAGAGGAAAAGAAAGGTAATTAAAGGCTTGGAAATTGAATTTTAAAATATTGTAAGAGCCCGGGGGCGCCTGGAGAAGCGGTGAGGTGGCCGTTCGCGCCTCTTCGGCCTCGGGGTCTTCCCCGCTACTCCAGCGACGGGGCCCCCAGCGGCTCTGGGCCCCAAGGACCCGCAGGGAAAGTTCACAGGGTCCCCGCCGAGCACAAGCCTTCGCAATTCGACAAGAAAATCCTGCTGTGGACCGGACGTTTCAAAACGATGGAGGAGATCCCCCCTTGGGTGCCGCCAGAAATGATAGATGCTGCAAGAAACAGAGCTCGGGCGAAAGCGTGTTACATAATGATCGGATTCACAATTATCGCCTGCTTTGCAGTGACCGCGTCAGCCAAAAGGGCTGTGGAACGACACGAATCCTTAACAAGTTGGAACCTGGCAAAGAAGGCTAAGTGGCATGAAGAGGCTGCGTTGGCTGCACAAGCTAAGGCTAAATGATATTCTGAAGTGTTCATTGGAATATCATCACTATTATCAGCAACGATAAAAGATAGGTAAAATAGAATATCTAAAAAAAAATAAATAAATAAATAAATAAATAAATAAATAAATAAATAAAATATTGTAAGAATACTGAAAAATTCACCTGAAGAGAGCAAAACAAATATTTGACATGAATTGGCTTTTTAAATAAAATTATCAAAATTAGGACTTACTACTAAAACCATGTTCACTGAGAAACCATCAGACAAAAGATGAAACCTATGCAGAGTCTCTGCAGACTATATCAGTAATTATGGTAAAATTCATGTAATCATTATGAATTATTATTCATAAATAATCGAAATTTCATATGGCACCCTCATGGTGGCTCTCCTATTGATTTCTGATGTAGAATTGCCCTCTAACACTAATCTGATGGAGATTTTTCCTATGAACTTGTCTGGAAGGGGATTCACTGACAGCCACTCAAAATTCTTAAGACAAACATCTTCAAAAGTGGAAAAAAATTTTTGGCTAAAAATAGATATTAAAAGCAATCAGCTCAAATCATAAAAAAATACTGATTTGTCTTGAATGTCTATTTACGTTAAAATGAATGAAGGGTTATCCTACAGGGAAGGCCACGCCTGCCAGGGGAATGGCCCGGGGAAATAGATTGAGTTTCTCTATAAAAATTCACTTGTGACAAGGACTGCAATAGCTCTTGAAAATGTGTGTAATTAGTTATACTTGGCTACCTTCTTAACTTCTACTAAGTACATTCCTATTATGGTGTTTGGAACTGAGAAATACTATAGCACAGGCTTAACTTATAACACTATTAGTATGCCCATATGCCCTTATTCTTTGGTCTAATAATCTTCATTCTATTGATATGTTTCTACTTTTTGTACTGTTATAAATACATTTATGGGCAAAATGTTATGAATTCACTTGATGATATATATAACAAAATTAACTAACACAATTTCAGTCACAAGGTAAAAACCTGAAATGAAAGTATTAAAAATCATTGTAATAATAATAATTACATTTATTGAGTCCCTAGATGTGTCACACATTTTACATATAGTATTCTTAACCTCACAACAACTCTACTGATATGTATCATTATCCTCATTTTTCATATAAGGAATCTTTTTCACATAAATTTAATTTCTTGAAGGAAACAGAGCCAGGAAGTGATAATGTTGATATTTGAAACCACATAAATTTGAATTCAAAGCTGCTAGGCTTTCTACTATACGATATCACGTTTTTAGTAACATTTATTCAGTTAACTTGTTTAAATTTGTGTTTAAATCATTCTTGTTTAGTTGATGACATTTAAGAATATTGAAAACTGAAAATTTAGTTTGTACGTTATTTTAATTTATTTTTGCAAAAGTGCATGGGCAGCATTTTAAAGTGATACTTTGGGACCTTTACTTCTATGGCATTTCACTACAAATACCATTTTTAAAAGCTGGTAAGATTTTAGTATAAAGGCTATATCAATTGTGAATTCTGTTTTACAAAGTAAATGAATATAGGGTTCATTTTGCAGTGAGACTTAAAAGAATGAGACCTAAGAACATCGGCTCCAACTAAAAACTATGGCTTGCCAGGCTTTTAGAGAAGACTGCTCAGGTAGCTGAAGTAGGAGGATCGCTTACACAGAGAGGGCACAGAGACCACAGTGTTGCTCAAAAATCTAACCTCCTAGTGTTACCTAAGGACATTCCTACACTCAATTTACGCCCATGAAAATATCAGAATTGATTTAAAATCCAAAAACACATGTTCATTTCTTGTTTCAAAGAGTAAAACCTTTATCAAACATAATAGTTCTCTCTGAGGGTTAGGATGCAAATTCCCCTTCTTCTGAAAACAAGCAAATAAAACAAACACAATAAAATTCAGAGAGGCTAGATTATTTCTGAGTTACTTGGATTAAATCAAGCCATACAGACTGAGTGCTGAGGGCAATGTGTGGCCAAAATCCTAGGGTTATCTACCAGGCCGCCGTTGTAGTGATTCAGCATTTCTGAAGTAATGAGTAGAGGGAGAAATTCTGTGAGTGAGCTAAGTTGTTCAGGAATCAGAAAGCTTTCCTTGTGCGTTTTACTGGCATTTTGCTGGGACACCCACCCACATCCTCCCCAGCTGCTCAGAGAGACATAACTGGGCCACTAGGAACAGTGTCAGTTGCACTGAGAGAGAAAAAGGCAGGAATTGGCTTGTCTTGGTTATTCCTGAAAGCCCTGATTTCAGTGGTGATCAGTATGTGTAAAAAAAAAAAAAAAAAAAAAAAGCAGAGTATTTTTTATCACTTCCTGAACCACTGTATGTATATTCAACTTCTTAAGTTGGTATTAAACAAAACAAAACCAAATAAAGCACTCAAGAAAAATATGAATGCAGAGACATCACTTGAAAAAGAACACTTTCATTTCATGGTTGACTTTTTCTGTCACAGAGAAGACAATGAAATGCATGACAATGCTTCTGTATTTTTCTCTTCTGCAACAAGCACGGAGGCATATATATTCAGATGCTTTATACATCACACTTGTGAATATTCACCAACCACAAAATCAAAACATATAAAGGCTACATCTGACCAAAATATTTTGGTTGCAGTTATTTCTTCTGCAGACAGAAACCTGACTTTCGCTCCTGAAAAAACATTGACTCTTATAACGGAGGTATTCCTGTGTAATTTTACTTTAGATACTATTTTTTCAGGGTTCAAATGATGTCATCAGGACCCGGTTTCTCTGAGTTGTGAATTACATAGGATTTCAAATCAAACCAGGATTCTAGGCCCAACCCTACCACTTTTTATCTATCTGGGGAATATCAGGGAAAGCATAAGTTCTGTGAATTTCAGTTTGCTCACTTGAAAAATGGGGATAATAACAGCCCTCTGAAGTAGGATCAAATGAGAAAGTAGAGAAAAGTGTTGCTAAAATTCTAAGGCATCATATAAGCATTCCAGATAAAAGCATATGACTTTCCGTCTACTGGAGTGTGTTAAAGAAATGCCAGCTTTGAGAGGTAATGGAGTTGGGGAGGAGATTAAAGTGGGGAAGTAGAGAGAAACGTTTAGAAGAGTGGTTAAGGAGCATGACAGTCCTCAGTGGTGACGGGCAAAGGAGAGAGAACACCAGGAATTTGGAGCATAGCCTGGCAAGGGAAGCGGGGGCATGAGAAGGAACCATGGTAGGGGAGCTTATCATATGGCCTTCCCTGTTTGCACAGCTGCATGTCATGAACTAAACTATTCAGTGATGGGATAGTTAACATGAATGTCTCAACAAGCAGCTGCCAAAACTGCCTCTGAAACCCAAAGGCCCTTTTCTATAGTCTAAGTGTTAATGTTTGAATGGTTTTATTGTTTTCTATTACAACCCAAGTTCCATGACTATATAATGTAGCAACTCCTATAGCTTAGGACAGAAGTAATCCATTGGTTTTAGGAACCAAAAAATTGGTGCAACTTGGACATTAGCTTTCTCTTCAGTCAACAAAGGATATCAATTGAAATTGAAATAATTTAGATAATACTTTTATGCATGAAATTATCCTGGAACTGGCATCTAGCTGGCAAGGAAAGAAACAGGATGCTTCCAGGTTTGTATTCTTTGTGGGATTGAAAATCAGTGTGGTTAGGGCCGGCGCCATGGCTTAGCGGTTAAGTCCGGCGCTCCGCTGCTGGCGGCCTGGGATCGGATCCCGGGCGCACACCGATGCACTGCTTCTCTGGCCATGCTGAGGCCGCAGCCCACATACAGCAACTAGAAGGATGTGCAGCTATGACGTACAACTATCTACTGGGGCTTTGGGGGGAAAAATAAATAAATAAAATAAAAAAAAAATCAGTGTGGTTAACAGTGAGTATACAAGGATAAATAGAACTGTGTCCCTATTTTCTCGGAACTCAGTCTAGTAAAGGAAATTTATATAAATAAATAGTGGTAATATAATGTAAAAAATTGTCTAATAGATATTTACATGCTATGGAGGACCAGAGAAGTAACTACCTCTGCAGAGTTCAGGGAAGGAGTCACAGAGAAGAAAATATCTGAGGTGATCATAAGGAAAGACTGGGAATTTATAGGAAATGAGGGGATGGTCATCCAGGAACAGGGAAGGATGTGCACAAAGTCACATCAACCTGAAAGTTGACTGGCATGTTCCTCAGTGTGACTATCTGTGGAAGTGTTAGGCAAAGTAGTTGACAAGGTAGATTAAGATCGGATTTTATGGGGTGTTGTCTGTTTGGGCCTTATACTGGGGAGAATACATGCTGAGAATAAATGAGAAGGAAATATGATCAGACATATTTTAGCATGTCAACTCTGGAAGAACTGTAGACTGTAGATTGGAATTCAGTGGAGATATAGTGTACAAAAGCAGAGATATTGAGAATAAAGTGTAGTAAATTATTTGAGAGCTCTTTAGGATATAGGTTCTACAGGTTTAGTGCCTGGTTGGATTTAGAAGATACTAGGGAGTTGCTCAAAATGAATCCCAGATTTCCACCTTTGGCAATAATAACAGTGTCATTAATAAAGTTTGGACTTGGAGGAGGAAGAAAATATTTGGATGTCACTTGAGGTGTCTCTGGACTATGCTGGATGGCAGTAGAATAAACAAATCTGGGGCTCAGGAGAAAGTCCTGAGCTAGAGAGATAAATACTTAAGGATTATTAGCATAGAGTAGAAGCTAAAACTATGCAAATAGTGTAATCTCCCTGGAAAGATAGCACGCAGTGTACAGAAATCTGTAAATCAGTGAAATGGGTTGAGGAGTAAATGCAGGTAAGAAACTGGAAAGAGTGACTGTCAAGAAGTCTAGTAGTAACTTCCTCTCGATGATCCCAAAGTACCTTTACATCCTCAAGACCCACCAAGGTAAATGGCAGATAGCAGAACCCTCTAGGCTGTGAACTTCTGGGGAAAATAAACTATAAATTATTTATCACCTTATCCTTAAGATACAGATAGTGTCTGGTTCTCAATTAATATTCGGTGAATAAAAGAGAGAGAGAATGCAGTTTGGGAAAGTGCTATTGCT